AAAAATTCGTAATTTTTTAAACTTGACCCAATAACATTTTATGCATTTTTTTGAGTGTTTAAGACCTCTATAAATGTAAAAAACGTTATATGGATAAATTTTAAGGTTAAAATTTTTTTTGATTTTCGTCGAAATTTTGGTCGATTTTTGGCACCCGGAGCGGTCTAATGGCAATAACTCCGGACTTATTAGAGATAACATCTTATATTTGGTACCGTTGGATAGAAAATTGAATTTTCTATCATATATTAAAAATTTCAGTACTCTACGATGAATAGTTATCGAGAAAATTTCTGATAAATTCAAAAATATCGAGAATTTAAATCCGACTATAACTTTAAAACTATTAGGAATTTTGCATTTTTTTTGACTCCAATCGATTTCCCGGAACATTTTACATAAGTTTAGGTCAAAATATTATATCATTGAGGCACAGTTTTGCCGGAATTTACAAAACAAAAAAAAGTAAAAATTTGTTAACCGATTTTACTACTAATTTTTTGAAAAACTCAAAAAATTCGTATTTTTTTAAACTTGACCCAATACGTTTTATGCAATTTTTTAAGTGTCTAAGACTTCTAGGAATGATTCAATTTTAAAATTGTCAATTTTTGATATTTGCTATACTTCGTTTCAAAATTTTAAACAATGCAAAGAAATTAGTTATTTCCCTAAGTAGTACCAACCTTCTTGGCGAGCTTGGGCTCGTACCCCTTGTCATTCCACACATCCTCCATATTGTACAAATCTTCAGCCCCATAATTATCAAGCCCACCCATATGGTTCTTGTTCAGTTCATTCAACATATCCTCAGTCAGCGACACTGGAGCCTTCTTTTTAGCATTTTTCTGTCGATTGACCAACTTAAACCCAAAAATTAGCCCAAATTTGGACACCATAGCCCAACTTACCACAGTAACCCCGAAAATTATGACGAAAAGAAGCGACGCTAGTCCTATGACAATCACGGCGATAGCCCATTGGGGCAATAGGACATTATCTTCGGCATAGCCCACCGTTGGGTAGGCTTGTTTGGGTAAAACTGGAATTTAGACCATAAAACCCAATTTTTGGTACCTTCTAAAACACTCACCGACAAAATCTGTGAATTTTGGGTCAACTGTAAATTTCCCTAAAGTCATTTTCATCGTTTCGTTCAAAGATTTGCCTTCACGGTTTGATGAACTGTCATCTAGTGAGTCATGGAACAATTTTTTTATTTCCTGGGTGTCAATTTTTCGTCCCAAATCATTCAATTCGACCAAATAGTCGACCAAAACCGACCCTTCACTAAAACCATCAATCCGAATTTTGCGGTACCATTTGTTCAAAACATTTGAGCGGCCGAAAACATCCTCAAGCTGGAAAAACCCATCAAAAATTGATTTTTGAACCAATGGTAGGTACCAACCTGTGTCTGGACTTCGTTTGCCAAAATTTGCCACTCTTTGGTATTTCGATCTAGTAGCTCTGGTACCCATTTGGCACCACCGACGAGTTTGATGGTACCGGCCAAGTCACACTCGCCGATGCACACCCCCGGAGTGGTCGGTTTGGGTGTTGTGGTGGTTGTGGTTGTGGTGGTACTTGTTGTGGTACTTGTGGTACTATCAACCACCGGAGTGGTACTCGTGGAAGCGGTTCGTGCCGCTTCGAGAAGCTTCTCAATGGAGATGGGAGTGGTTGAAGGGGTTGGCCAACCGGTGAATTCGGTAGTTGCCCTAAAAAAACCAGTAGTACCACTAGTGGTACCCAAGGGTTAACATACCTAGAAGGCCATCCTTTATGAATTGTAGGTGCAGTAGCACGTGGTTCCTCTGTACTGGTACTCGACGGAGTGGTAAGTCTATTAGGGGATTTGCGGTGGGTACCACCAGGCCGGCTCGGGAATACCACCTTAAAACCACTAGGTTTACTAGTGCTAGTAGTGGTAGTACTAGGAGTGGTACTAGTTGTAGTTTCGCGCAACTTGTACCCTGGTGGTAGAAGACTTGATGGTACTTTTTCGGGAGTTGTTAAGGGTTTTTGGGTCGTTCTAGCCTTGTAACCTGGGGGTAAAAAGGCACTAATATCGACTGGTTTAGCCTGGGCTATCAACCCTTCAACTCCTTTAGGTTTAGGGCTAGGTTTAGGTTTATAACCCGGTGGTAACAAAGCACTGATATCATCAAGAGGCTTCGCCTGGGCTAGTAACCCTTCAATGCTAGGTTTAGGTTTAGTAGTACTAGATTTGTACCCAGGTGGTAACAAAGCACTGATATCATCAATAGGCTTAGCCTTGGATAGAATACCATCAATGGATTTGGTAGTAGTGGTACTAGTTTTGAAATTTTTGTACCCAGGTGGCAAAAACGCCGAAACATCATCAACTTTTGTAATTTTGGGTACTTTAGCCAAAATTTTTGAACTATCGTCCTTTTCGGTACTATTGTACCCGGGTGGTAAGAACGCACTTACATCCCCCACCGTAATTTTCGTCTTGTTGGAAATCCCCGACGAGCGTCCAATTTTCGGTGGTTCATCCCCTTGTGGTAAGTCCAAATCCGGTTTGGCGGTAGTACTAGTCTTCCGGTTTTGGTACTTGGGCTTGAACCCTGGTGGTAGTAACCCAGTCAAGTCATCTTGTTTGACAATTTCGATTTTCTTTGACCTTGGTGTTGTCGAAGGTCGTGCCAAAGGCGAAAACTTCCGAATTTGTACCACCGGTTTGGGTGGGGGAGTTGGTTCAGGTATAGTAGTCACCATTTCGGTTATAACCGCAATGTTGTTCAAACCGCCGTTGAAAACACTACTCGAGAGGTCCGATTGGACCCGATCCAACTTATCGATCAAACTCTCAGTGGAAGTTTTAGGTTTGGTGGTTGGTACTACCGTAGTTGGTTCCTCGGTACCTTCCTCATTCAAAAGTTTGATTCTTTCGTCCTGTTTGACGTCATCGGAGGGTAGGTACCGGGCACCAGACACACTTCGACTTGTCTGGACTGAGGCTACTACGACCCAAGTGTCGGTACTATTCTCGGAAGTTATAGTAGAGTTGGGTAAGGGAGTTGCAGTGGGGAGGATGGTGTTATTGACCACACTTTTGGTCGTGACGACTGAAATTACCGTCTCAGGTTCGGCCAAAAGGGCCTCGGTTTTGGTTCCAGTAGTTGGTACTTCTTCAGTGGTACCAGCCAAGGTTGTGTCTTCTTCTGTCTTGTTTTCCCCACTTTCTTCATAATCCTCATCACGAATATTGTTACTTTCTTCAGAATTGGGGGTTTTTGAATCATCTTCTTGTTCTTCAGTTGAGTAATCTTCTTCTTCTTCTTCCCGTGGATGTTCCTTTCGTAATTCTTCCAAATGTTTAATCGGGTCTTCTTCTTCTTCTTTTTCTTCTTCTTTTTCTTCTTCTTCTCCTTCTTTTTCCTTATCATAGTCGACTGAGGGATCAAGAGTGGTATCATAGTCAAAATCGGTGGTACTCTCATCTTGACTTTGAGTTGTCAATTCTTCCTTCTTCGACTTGACAACTTCGACAACATCATCATTGGCATTGGAACCTTTGATTGGTTCCTCTAGAAGTGATTCAAAGTTTAAACCGTTCTGCTTTTTGGTTGTGGTACTAGTAATAGTGGTGGTACCACTAGTGGGATAAAAATTCTTCCTCCTGGTACGTTCAGTTGTGCTTTTTGGGATTATGGGTGCTCGAGTGGTACTAAAAACATTCCCATTTTTGTTAACATAGTACTCCCGGACTTGGGGCAACTTCTGGGTGGTTTCAGGGGCAAAAATCCTAGTCCTATGATTCAGAAAATTCCCTCTTCCGCCTATTGTCACAACGTTGGTTTTATCAGTCTGGGTTTTGGGATTAAAATCCTCGTATTTGGGAGGAACGTCAGCTGGGCTTTGGAGGGTGATTTCCCCCAGGAAAGTCTCAGTTTGGGGGTTCCTATTATGTGAGTGTGGGAATAAATGGGAGTAGTTGGGTCGGTGTGTTGATGGTACTATCTGGTCCTGGGGGCGGAATGGTGCCGGTTGTGAGCTCCGATAGTCGAATTGGGGTTGGTAGGAGTACCTGGGGGGCGTCTTCGTGGTCACACGATACTGGGGGAGGGTTTGTTGCAAGTGGTAAGGGAGATCCGAAGTTTGGAGATCCCTAGGAAGGTAGGAGTCAATTTGCTGGAAATTGGGCCTGAAGGGATTAAAATCGGGATTTTGTCGATAATTAGGGATGAATTGGGTGTCAGCAGGGCCGGTGATGACGTACTCCTGACCTGAAACAAAACCGGGATTAAGTGTGAAACCCCCATAAATCATGGAGCACCTGATTGGAATGTGAAAACGGGATTATTGATTTTTTGATATTTTTTTTCCTTGCGTTGGCACTACGTGCAAAAATCTAATTCAGTTTAATGTCAAGGCGGTGCGGGCCGGTCGACCTTCATGCGACACTCCTCTTAAAAGAGACATTTTATCCGATTTTGCCATTAAAGCAACTTAATTTGAATTTTTTTCTACTTTAAATGAGACTCACATTATATGCGCGACACGTTTTTCGGAACTTGAGTTTATTTAAAATGCGGACCTGTCTGGACAATATTTTACACCAGACATCATCGTTACGGATGGATGGCTTTAGGGCGACTTGGGGGGGGATTAGGGATGTGTGGACGTTTTTACATAATTGTGATATAAAAAAAAACAGGAAAAAGCTTCAAAATTCATAAAAACGGATTTCTTTCGTAATAAATTAAAATTCACTCAAGGAATTTTACTTGAAAGACTCGAATTTGGCATCTGAAATTTGCTCGGCTCACTAGATTGGATAAAATCGCTTGATGTTGCTGGTGTTTAAGTAAAACTTAAAAAAAATGTAAAAATCAGTTTAAATTTTGTAAATATATTTATCTATTGATTAAATTGTCACTTTCTTGTGTACTTTTGTCCGACGGATCCAAATCTGTCACTTAAGCTTAAATCCGCCTACTAGATTTACAAATATCGAAAGATATAGATGTAGTCTGGGGCAAAAATCAAAAATGCTGGAAAATTTCTTAAAATTTTTTAAATAATTTTTTCTTTCTAATAAAAAAGTGTGTTTTTTATGTAAAAGTATCTTCTGATTTTGAATCTGTCACTCAAAATTAGCTCCGCCTACTAGATCTAAAAATATCGAAAGATATAGAAGTTTCCTTGGACAAAAACCAAAAATGCTGGAGTCTCTTAAAAATTTTTAAATATTTTTTTATTTTTAATAAAAAAGTATGTTTCTTATGTAAAAATATCTACTAATTTTGAATCTGTCACTCAAAATTAGCTCCGCCTACTAGATCTAAAAATAACAAAAGATATATTTGTTGTCTAGGACAAAAACCAAAAATGGTTAAAAATTGGTTAAAATTTCTTAAATATTTTTCTCTTTCTAATAAAATTGCAGTTTTTTATGTAAAATTGTTTACTGATTCTAAATCTGTCACTAAAAATTAGCTCCGCCTACTAAACTTTAAAATATCGTAAGATATAGAAGTTTTCTAGGACAAAAACCAAAAATGCTGGAAAATCGCTTAAAATTTCTTAAATATTATGTTCTTTTTAACAAAAAAAAACAATTTTTCTTATGTAAAATTGTTTTCTAATTCTAAATTTGTCACTTAAAATTAGCTCCGCCTACTAGATTTAAAAGTATCGGAAGATGATAGAAGATAGAACAAAAGTCAACATGCTGGAAAATTGGCAAAAATCTCTTAAATATTTTTTGCTTTTTAACAAAAAATTATTTTTTATGTAAAATTGTTTACTAATTTTGAATCTGTCAGTTAAAACTAACTCCGCCTACTAGATTAAAAAAAAATACTTAATGATACAAAAAATTTCACATTTTTTTTTTGTGATGTTTCTTATTTCTTTGTATAGAAAGGTCAAAAAAACACAAAAACAGTTTTGAAACTGTATTTACCAAAAAATATCCACTTTGGTAACAAAACACATTACACAATCACTTTCGTAACTTTTGACCCACAATTGTAACTTCAATAAAGCATTTTTCTTCCCCTTTTCGGTGTTGGAAGTTTCCCGATATCGATTATTTAACGTTCATTAAAACTTCCCGAAAAGTATTTACCCACCGAATCCAAAAACACGGATACTTTTCCAATTATCGTCGTGTTTTTCCACTCTCGAAAATACTTTTCAGTTACTGCTGAAAAACGACGATACAAAACTTGATGATTTGTTACAGAGTTGAGCTGAAAAGTTTGTGTTTAGGGAAACTCTCACGAGATTAGTCGACAATGCGGTGCTAATTATTAACAAGGTCCGCAAACAGAGCAAAAATTATAATCGGGATAAGTTTTAAACAAGAAAAAGTCCCAAAAGTTTTAAACCGGTTTAGAATTAATCACAGGTTAACCACATCCTTTGATATTTTTAGATCTAGTAGGCGGGGATCAATTTAAGTGACTGATTTGGAATTCTTAGACAAATTTACATAAGACTGATGCGATTTTAACAAAAACAAAAAATTAATTTGGAAATTCTGAGCTTATTTTCCAGGATCTTTAAAGTTTGTTTTGGACAACTAAAATATTTACCCATATTTCCAAATCTAGTAGGCGGAGCTAACTTTAAGTGACAGATCTGGACTCTTCGGATCAAATTACATAAGAAAACCACTGTTTTTAATAAAACAAAAATTTATTAACAAATTTTAAAGCTATTTTCCACGAATTTATAATTTTGCCTCAGACTATATTAATATTTGACCATATCTCCCGATCTAGTAGGCGGAGCTAACTTTAAGTGACAGATCTGTATTCCCCAGATCAAATTTTATAAGATAGCTATGGTTTTTAGCAATACAAAAATTTATTAACAAATTTTGAGGCCATTTTCCATAATTTTGCTTTAAACTTTATCAATATTTGACTATATCTTCTGATCTAGTAGGCCCTGCTAACTTTAACTGACAGATCTGGATTTCCCATATCAAATTACATAAGTTGGCTA